AGCTCGTCCGCCGGCAGGTCGGGCACGTCGCTCACTTCCAGCTCCATGGAGATCTCGTGGACAACCTTCTGCTTCTTGGGAGCTTTGAGCTTCTTCTCCTCCTCCGTTTTGGTAGCTGTGCCCTCACCCGAACCTTTGGACGGTTCTTCTTCTTTGGCGCTTTCCCTGTTTTCTTTGGGATCCTGTAACGGCCAAGGGACCTTCTCAGGCAAGTGAACGGATCTGCGGGGCCTGCAGCCTTTTCCCAAGGCAGGGCACTGACTGGGCAAAATCCCACCTCTCAGACGCGGAAACCAGAGTCCCCACTCAACGCGATGCTCACCTGAGACTCCGTTTTCTCGCCGTCTTCCCGTTTCTGGGACTCTGCCTTCGGAGGGACAGCATCCCCCTGACCCGGAGACTCCTGTTTCCCTTCTCCCTGCTCTCCACCGGCATCCTCTGCGCTGCTTCTCTGCTCTTGCTTCTCCCCCTGCTCTTCTTTCCCTGTTTCGGCGATGCTCTCCTCTTCTTCCTGGTCACCACAGGCAGGGAAAAGGGAAACCAAACCAGCATTTTCCATGTAGAAATTCCACGCCCATGTTCCCCAGAACAGGTAATTCCCCGCGAGACACGTGGGTAGGGAACACAGCGACCGCAGCCGTTGGCGAGGGACGGCGCCGAGCTGGAGTACTGTCCCTTCGGCGCAGGACATGAAGCGTGTGACGGGGAGCCGTGGTCTCCCCAAGAAGGAAACCTCACGCCAGCCTAACAGCCCGGGAGAAGGCGCCAAGCCCACCGGACACCGACGCCACGCTCCGGAGAGCGCCAGGACAATGCAGACACCGGAGACGTCCCCAGGAACAAGCCCTGAAGCGCAAGTCCCCCTCTGCCGGGCCTCCCTCCGCCTGCCGGCACCCCGGGGCTCACCTGGACCGAATCCGTCAGGTTCTCGCCAGTCCCTGGCGTAGGGCCACCACCCCCAAAGAGGCTCGAGATGGTGTTCCCAAGTTCTAAACAGAAAAAAGCAGAATGTGACGTATCCAAAGGAGGAAAAAATTCACTGTCAGCTCCCGGTTCTCCCCCTCGCGACCGTAACGATGGCCAAGGAGCTGCCTTGGCGGCGCAGGGCAGCCACGCAGACTGCTCCTCCCTCCAGAAGCTGCTCGCAAGAGACTTCCAGGGGGTGTGGAGCTCACACGCAACCAGAGGCCAATTCCCGCATCCCGGAGCCACGGTGCTCGCTCCGTCCAAAGCGGCCAAACGCCTCCGGCGGGGCC